GTCATCACAACATGAGTGACGAAATTCGAGTAGTTTTGACCCAGAAAGCGAAATTTGAATATCGAACACTTAGGTGCAAGATTTTGCCGAAATTTCGTGTTTTCCGTCCCGTTTTTGCTCATTTCTCGGAAGCAAAATGGTCAAAAACACTCATTTTTAAACACCCAAAACGCAGTTTTCCTCTATCGAAGCAGTCTTTAGTCGGTAGAAATCTCCCATAAATAACGCGCGTAAGAAGCGCTTTGCTAGGCGCCATAAATTTGCGGAAATTAAGCTGTTTCGCCCCTAGCGAAAAATATATCGCCCATCTACTTATTATCTTACTCCCGCTGGGTTTCGGTTGCTTAACAGTTATTGCATTAATAGATTTTATTTAGCGCCCATTTGCTAGTTTAATTCGCCATTGAAAATTGCTAGAACTCTTTGCCGTCTATCAAATCTGCTCTGGATCGCGTTTTCTTCTAGAAAATTCCGTTTTTCCCTTTTGTGGAATGTTTGTCACTTGTTTTTGTGGCAGAATTTCTGATGACCCAATAAACAATAATGAATAAAAACTGTCAGGGTGCGTGTTTCATCCAGTCGCATTAATCATCGACGACATGCAAACCGAGAGGATGGCAATAATCGATCGGTTTTCAGGGACAGAAACCATTCCATTTCCATTCTATCGCTATTCGTGGGGAATCCATAGAAGTTTGAGTTTCCAGAATTTTTTCTTGTTTGTGTCTAAATCGAGCGGAAACTGGCCAGAATCGCTGACAAGCGAAATTTCTTGCTAAATCCTGTAAATTGACTTAGAATTTTGTGCCGTTGCTGAGTAAGAGAGTTGAAGGAACATGATGGAAAGGCAAATTTCACTTGCCATCAGCAGCTTTTTCGGCCTTGTGCGCGCTCGAAATGACGGATTTTTACCATTTAATTAAGGGGGCAAATTCGGCGAGTTCAATTTTGAGTATTTCGAGCTTTTCAACATTTGATGAAATTGATCAAACTTCACAAGTAATCGTTCGAAAAAGAAAAAATTGGATATCAAAAGTTGCCATGATGACTTTCAAGTCGGAAAGTGGATCCTACTTGCAGTCAAATTGTAAATTTGTCAAAAAATCAAATTGTAAATCTCGGGATTTATAAGAATCTTCAAAAATCTGTAACTAACCGTTCAAGCAAGCAAAAGAGGCAATTTAAAAAAAACATGTTTCATTGTTTCGTCAACAGGGCACTATTCAATTGACTGTGCAATTTTTCTCAAAATAAACACTTTGCTACTGTTTCTATCGGTTTGTTTAGTTCCCGATTAGACATTCAACCTGATTTCTTCGCATTTTTCACGTTTCAAGTAGACCGTACGGTTATTAATGATGCAAACCGAACGGAAATATTGAGACTATTTAGAACAGTGGCTAAGTGATAGTTAATAACGTTGCATGTGCGTAAGTTAATATTTAATTAGAACTGGGGCAGGCGAAAGGTGTTGCATGTTTTTCTGCAAATTATCCGGGTGTTTTTTTATTGTTTTTTCCCTTTTTTCCAGGATGTTCTACACACGATTTGCCAGTCCAGTGGACAAGTACTTCGAATAGTGATCTTCAAGAAGAACGGAGTACAAGCGATGGTTGAATATCCTTTTTATGCAAACTGATTTGCTGTCGGTGTTTTTGTACATGTGCATGAAAGGGTTGAAAGGGGGAAACATTTTTATATTTAACACTTTGCTACGGCATCTGGTTTTTTTGCGAAACTGGCCAATTTCCTTCGTTCTTTATTTCATCTTCGGTCCTGTCGCTTTGCATTGACCTGAACTTTTCATCCTCCACAGAGCTCCCAAGTTTTCTAATTATTATGTCGATTTCTTGCCTTTTCCAAATCATTTTTTCGGGTAGTTTTGCCCGAAATGAGCACATTCTCAGCTAGAATAATCGAATTTGCTTGCTGTGTTTGCCTGAGCGCAGAATTTCCGCTTGTTTCATCCAAATGAAACACTCATTAAGAATGGTTTGGTTAATTGAATTATCAATTGCCGCTTAACACCTGCCAATAGTTTTCCCATTTAATCAGTCTATTTGGTTCCCTCGGCAAAATAATCCACTTTCGGTCCAATGCAGGTAATTAATTGGAATTTTTGCTTTAGTTATGCGCTTGTTAACGAGTGCATTATGCAATGAAATGTTTATTTGGTAAAGCCGGCTTATGTTTGAGTCGCGCACTGTTTGTATACGATATATAAAATTACGAAAACAAACAGTGTGCGGCAGTCGGATCAAACACCATAAAACATAATTGAATGGTGGTCCAACATTTAGCGCCACATAAATATTGTTCAATGGTGTTTTGTCAGCTGTTGGAGGACCATCGCAGCGTTGCCACACGGTGGAGAAATTCGGGAGTTTTATGCGAAACTTGCCCGCTAGTTTAGAGTTTAGTTTAAAGTTGGACTTTGTCATTTTTTTACTTCTGGGATTTCAACAGCAATTGCCAGACGGTGAGGTTTGTTCGTTATTGCAGACAGCAGTTGCCTAAAAATATTCCTGCCGGCAGCACTTTATTGTATGCAAATGAGCAAGTTGGGCAACCTTTAGGTAGCCGCGTATTCTTGTGGGCTGCACAGCTTCTGGTTATGAACGTTGACGAGTATTTCCTTAACTAGCTACATACATTTGACAATATAGAATCAGCAATTCGAGCCAAAGACACGCTAAATGGTGCAGATATCTACTCAGGATGCTGCACGTTGAAGATTGACTTTGCCAAGGTAAGTACCAGTTTTCTAAATGTTACGAATAATTGCCCGATGCAAACAGAAGTTTTCTTGAAGATTCGCACTTTCTCTTTGCGCGCTTTTCAGTGCAATTAACTATCGGGACAATGTTGGTAAAATGCGTAAAGTTTAACGGGTTTAGTGGCATTTTGATACTCAGTTTTTATGGTGTTTGTCGCATGGAATGCTACTGAAAACCGTGGCGATTGTACGGATTCAGGTTTGTGCGTTGAACAAAATTGGGTCAATTGGAATTTCGACCTGACGTTTCGCTAGTTTGTGTAGCTGACATCTTCAGACGTGTCTATTCACTTTGGGTATTCCTTTACACTTACGCTCTTATCGATCGGTTACGTTTAACTACGTATTAAATCTTGTATTACTTATACAATTGGTTCAAAATGCCACATTTTTGCAGTGATGAGTGTGATCAGAACAGTGTAAGCGTTCAAGCAAACCACTTCTGAAGATGCAAGCCACACGTGCTTGCGAAACGTCAAGAAGAAATTCTACCGAACGACGGSCTAAAAACCCGAAAAACCCACTTGTTTCATTTTTTTTCTGTGTTGAATGTTGAATCACACTGCATATTATTAGAGATGCGTGCAAAGTAAAACTAAATAAACATCTGGTTGCCAAAATGATTTAAGAATTTTCGGTTATTAGTTTTGCTAACAGTATGTTTTCTTTTGTGGCGCAGACACCTCTGAATGTGCCAGTCGTGCGTGCTACCGAAACGTCAGCTTCGAGCCCGAAAATTAACGATATTTTATTCCGGTAATAACGCGAATTTGCAATCGATTCAGCAGGAATGCATCCGAACTGAACGGCACAAAAGTGAATACATAGTTAGAGCTCTACGAACTGAAACGTGTTAAATCAGTCGTATAGTTTTATAGCAAATTGCCACCGATCATAACTTTCGTAATGGGAAATGAATGGTAATAAAACCGAACGTCCAATTTGGCATTTGATCAAAATCTAGCCGTATTGTTGCACCGACCAAATGTCTGAAACGAATAAAGCGAAAGTAAACATCTCGCTCAAAATATGATAAACAAAACTCTTTGTTTTTGCGAACTTTTCATTTGCCGCATCCTGTCGAACCGGGAGTTTTTCGGGCTTGATCTCTGTTTTCACATGGGCATCTGGTGTGTCTTAATTTCGGACAAGCTTGCAATAAATATCTGGATGTTTTTCGCCAATTCCGTTTACTTTGGAAATTGTTTTGGGGGATTTTCCAGCTAGTGGAAAGCGCATTTGCGGAACTGCAAAGTGCATGAAGTCGCATGAATTATTTTCCGGTTCAGCCTAACTGGAAATAGTAACGATTTAATTTGGCGGGGATTTGTTCAGTTCAATTAAGCCACTTTCGTTGTTCTTTTGCCGGTTTACTGGCTCTATATGGGACTAATTGCTTGGGGGTTAATTAGAAAATTGTTCGTTTGTGTCGTTATTATTGAATCCGAAAGCGAGCCAAATGTGCGGGTTTGTTGAGGTTCTCCTATGGGTTTTGATGCGTTTGGAAGCGACAGGCGGACACCAAAACATTATCATTTGTAAATCGCGGAGCGTCTGCAGGAAAAAAATTGCGTGTTTGGCAGATCGTTGGTGTTGCACGTCCGACGGCCAATGAATCAGCCGGGAGGATCCCGAAAATACGCACGATTTATAAATAAATGTCACTTGGGTGCGATTTTATGGCATCGGGACGATGATTTTTT